ACTGAAAAAGTACCACTCCAAGTCCCTAGTCTTCAGCTTCGACTTGCCTAATAAACCGAAAACAATAACCCAACAAAAAAATTCACAAATATAGCTAGAGTCCACCAAATGATACACGTGTATATGTGCATATATATATATATATATATATATATATATATATTTAAAGCATAAAAGGGGTTAAGATTTTTAACCAGGGAGGTCCCAAGGCTCAATCTTGTAGATGTCGACGACCGAGATGGGGTCGAATCGGAAGTTCTTGCCGGAGACCTTGCGCTTCAGATAGTACCAGACTAGTTCTTCATCGGTTGGGTGGAATCGGAACCCAGGAGCGAGTGAATTCTCTTTGCCGCGAGCCATGGATTAATCAAATCCAGGAAGAAAAAGAACAAAAAAAAAAAAATGTTATGTTTTTGTTAGGGTTTCAAAACAGAATGGAATCGAAATAACTGAGAAACGGGAATCGGGAATTGGGAATTAGGGTTAGATTAGGGATTGGATTGAATCGAAATCGGAGAGTTGATCGTTGGGGACGAAGGAGGAGAGTAGAGGAGCCATTGGGTAGGTGTGGGAAAGTGCGACCCGGCGCGTCGTTTTGGTAGATATATAGCGTCGGTAGTCCCGCAGGGAAGTTTTCCGCGAATATATGGAGGTGATTTGTTTTGGGTCACAGGCCGGTCCTTTTATGTCTCTGTTACCGGCATCGCAAGGTAACTGATGTGGCAGGCTGCAGAGGTCCCACGTGGCGTGGGTGTTGATTCGACATGGGGCTGATGTAACTGCATCCGTCAACTTACTTGGGGAACACTGGAACCGGAAACGTCCATTATATAAGATAAATGTATAGGAAATTAAAAACCCCACGTACAAACATTTTTCTTCATTCCACCCTCTAAGACCATCTCCAATTATTAGATTAAACCTCAAATTTTTAGTTTAGAAATAGTTTTTTTACTCCAATTCTTCTGAATTAAAATTTTAACCCCAAATTATTATGAAACACATAAAAGAATTTTTTTTTTAATTACTTTAGCCGTTGGATTTAAATTTAGATCATTAAATTTTTTTTTTTCTACCATTGAATTCCATCAAATTAGATCTTAACCGTTGGACTCAATGAATTTATAAATATAAAACTAAAAAAATATATATGGTGGGCTAGCCCGACTAATCCAGGAGAAATTCTAAGCTAAATTTGATCCATAAATGAGTTTTGAGTCACAATCCAAATTTTTTTTTTTTTTTCCTTTCCAATGGTTGGAGTAGGTCTTAAGGGCTCAATTGTTGATTAAAGCCTAAATAAAATAGATAAATATGTAGAGAAGGTTAAGAGAGGTAAAATGGCTGACCGAAAAATTTGAGTAAAAAGTTCTTAAAAAAAATAAAAATAAAAAATTTGAGTAAAAAAATCGAAAAACTAGAGGGCATGGAAGACTTATAAGGTGCAAATAGAGTTGAAAGTACGATATCGACAGTAAATTATTAAAAACCTGACTAGCGGTGGAAAAGAAATACCCATGTCTTTGGAGGTAAATGGGAGAAATAATCTAGCTATTCAAAAGAAATTTTTTAACTACTTTAATATTCAGAAAGAATATTTCGAACTTTGATGTAAGATGATGGACACTCTGCTTTAGTCAATTTGGTTGCTAGCAAGTGGAGGATTGCCATAATGAATATGGTCTACCTCTTCACCTCTTCCCCTTTTTTCTTTTTCTCATTTAAAGTAATAATATCGTTTGTAAAAAAATAATTTCTCAATAGCATGTAATACATATACTAATTATAAAACAATCTTGAGGATAAATTTACAAATTTGGTATATACCAATTTTAAAATATATGTTGAGTTAGTTTTGTACAATTTTATACATGAGAAATTCATTCAATTAACTCATTTTATGTGTGACGCGTGGGATCAAATTTTCAAATGCATCACACATTATTTGTGATGTTCCACACCTATCGTGTGTGGTCGAGTTTCTATCAATACATATATATACCAGACTCAACCTCTACCTCCATCAGTAAACACAACAAACGCTTCATAAAATAATTAAGAGGATGGTAGGTTGAAGTTAAAATGGAAATTGAGTCCTCTTCGGATCTTAGTATTCAGAGCTTAAGGACTAAAAGATATGAGTCCTTAGTTTGTGTGAAGGACTAAAAGATACGATGTTTGCCGCGAATATATGGAGGAGATTTGTTTTGGGTCACAGACCAGTCACTTTATGTCTCTGTTACCGGCATGGCAAGGTAACTGATGTGGCAGGCTGCAGATGTCCCACGTGGCGTGGGTGTTGAATCGATATCGGGCTGATGTAACTGCATCCGTCAACTTACTTGGGGAACACTGGAACCGGTGACGTACATTATATAAGATAAATGTATAGGAAATTAAAAACCCCACGTATAAACATTTTTGCTTCATTCCACCCATAAAGATCATCTCCAACACTTCAATTAAAACTTAAAAATTTTTGTTCAGAAATAGTTTTTTTACTCCAACTCTTCTGAATTAAAATTTTAGCCACAAATTATTAAAAAATGAATTTAGGTTTTTTTTTTCTCTTAAAAGTAACTTTTTTAAAAGAAAAATTTTTTGTAGACTATCCTAATTTAATTTTATCAACATTTTAACTTAAAAATATTTAGATTCTGACAAATATTGAAAAATCATTAATCGATACCATGAAACTCGTGAAACACTATAAAAGAATATGAAACACATAAAAGATTGTTTGTTTTTAATTACTTTAGCCGTTAGATTTAAATTTGGATCCTTAGATTTTTTTTTTTTTTACCGGTGGATTCCATCAAATTATATTTTAACCGTTGAACTCAATGAATTTATAAATATAAAACTAAAAAAAATATACATATATGGTGGGTTAGCCCCACTAATCCAGAGGGAATTCTAAGTTAAATTTGACTCATAAATGAGTTTTGAGTTTTACTCCAAATATTTTTTTTTTTCCTTTCCAATGGTTGGAGTAGGTCTTAAAGGCTCAATTGTTGATTAAAGCCTAAATAAAATAGATAAATATGTAGAGAAGGTTGAGAGTGGTAAAATGGCTGACCGAAAAATTTGAGTAAAAAGTTCTTCAAAAAAAAAAATGAGTAAAAAAATGGAAAAACTAGAGGGCATGGAAGACTTATAAGGTGTAAATAGAGTTGAAAGTATGATATCGAAAGTAAATTATTAAAAATTTGACTAGGGGTGGAAAAGAAATGGAGGTGGATTGTCTACCCTCTCATTTCCATACTTTTCCCATACCCTCATATTTGTGTGATCACGGTTAAGTCACGTCAACATTTTATATTCATATTACTTTTTGTTTTATTATTTCTATAAAAAAATTAATATAAAATGTTGACGTGAATTAACCGTGACCACACATCACAGGAGGGCAAGCAACGGCGAAGCTACATAGGAGCGAAGGGGGGCGGCCACCCCTCCACTCATCGAAAAACAAAGGCAGGAGTGAAGCTTGAACCCCCCTGGTTCGGCCGGAAACTGGGTTGAAACCCCCTTGCTTTTGAACCAGAAACCTGCGCAGCTCCCTGCGCGCAGGGTTTTTTTTTTTTTAATTTTAAAATCCAGGCCAAAACGATGTCGTTTTGGGCCTGGCAAAAAAAAAAATTTGGTAAACGGCGTCGTTTTGCGGCTAATCAAATAAAATAAATAAAGAAAACAGGGGGACCAATGGTCCCCATCCCCATCCCAACCCCACCCCTGGTCCCCATCCCCATCCTCATCCTCATCCCAACCCCACCCGGTTTCAATTAAACCCCCACCCTTTTCCCATATGACAAATCTCGTCCCCCACATTTACTCCCCTTTTCCCCCACACGACAAAACCCTCCCTATCCTAGATTTCACTTTTCAAAATTGTCCCAAATCCCAAGAACACAAGAAAGCAGCCACCCCTCGTTCTGTTGGTTGGCCACCAAGACCATTGTCCAAAGTCCAGAAGCAACTCACCACGCACGCCACGCTAGACGCTCCAATTAAGGTAAAATTTTAATTTATTTCAAACCCTAATTGATGATTGAATACAAATTTTTGTTTAATTGATGTAGGATTATAGGGTTATACATTATATGGTTATTGATTATAGATTATTCTTATTCATATGATATGAATACTATGATTATTGAATTTTTTTTTTTTTTGAAGTACATAAAACAGGATTGATACATTATATATATAGGAACTTGAATCACACATGGTCTAGCAAGAAAAAAAAAAACAACTGAACATGGTGAAGACTTTTACATCATATTTACATTAACATAATAAACCCCAACTAACCAACTAAAACCCTCATTCAAATGCATTGTTGGTACTGTACATTCGTAGTCTACATACTCTACTCTAGGATAAAAATTGAATTCTTGATTATTCATATGATTGTTGGTACTGATAAATTATTCTTATACAGTTACGTAATGGAACGATACTATAAGAAACAGTGCTTAAATCCTTCTCCAAATATTCCGGATAGTCCTCCTCTTCCTTTAAATATTCCGAGTAGTCCTCCTCCACCTTCAAATATTCCGAGTAATCCTCCTTCGAGTATTTCGGGTAGTGCACAACAAAGTGAGGTTACTGAGTTGGATGAAATATTAGCTAATCTTCCTGCAAACCCTGGACTGAGACGTCAAATGCTTGATTATCCACTCAATTATCGCAAAGCAATTCGTAGATACTACCTCCAAAATGAACCTTGTCAACCTAAATCTCACATCATACCAAGGAAAGCTAGCAACAATCGATGTTTTATCACAGGTTTGTTTGATAATTTTAATTGGTTGGAGTATAGTATAGTAAAAGATGCTGCATTTTGTCATTATTGCTATCTTTTTAAATGTGATTTTGATAAAGCGGGTGGTAGTGGAAGTGATGCCTTCACTTGAAAAGGGTTTATAAATTGGAGGAAAGGACCAGAAAATTTTCGAGTCCATGAGGGAGGTTTTGGAAGTCTTCGTAATAAAGCTATGCAACAAGCTAAAGACTTGATGACACAAAAACAACACGTTGAAACATTTGTGATCAAGCAAACTGATGAAGCTCGCGTTAATTATCACACTTTACTGAGTGGAGCATTTGATTGCACAAGATGGTTGTTGCGACAGGGTTTGGCTTTTTGTGGGCACGATGAATCTTTGAAATCGAGCAATAGGGGTAATTATATAGAGCTTATGCAATTTCTTGCCGATCATAATGAGAAAGTTAGGAAGGTTATTCTTGAGAATGCTCCCAAGATTCTCAAGTATACTTCTTCCGATATTCAAAAGGATCTTGTTCATGTTTGTGCTATTGAAACTATTAATACAATCACTAAAGACATGGAAGGTACATTTTTTTTCTCTTTTGGTTGATGGATTACGTCACGCTTCCATTAAAGAGCAAATGGCGGTGGTATTGCGTTATGTGAACAAAAAAGGAGAAGCAATTGAAAAGTTTTTGGGTGTTCAACATGTCTCTTCTACAACTAATAGCTCACTTGAAGAGGCCATTGAGAGATTGTTTGCTACAACAAATTTGAGTATGTCTAAGTTACGAGAACAAGGCTATGATGGAGCTAGTAATATGACAGGTGAGTTAAATGGTCTTAAAACAAAGATTTGGAACAAATACTCTCAAGCATTTTATATTCATTGTTTTGCACACCAACTCCAACTAACTCTTGTATTCGTGGCAAAGGAAAATGAGGATGTTGCCAATTTCTTCATCAATGCTAGTAGTTTGGTGAATCTTATTGGATCTTCATGCAAGCGTCGTGATGCATTTAGAGAGAAACAACAAGAACAAATTCAGAAAGCTCTTGTTCTTGGTAATCTTGAAACGGGTAAAGGGTTAAATCAAGAAAGTAGTCTCATGTGTCCATGTGATACACTGTGGAACTCGCATTATGGTACTATAGTTAGTATTATTGTTATGTTTGAACCCGTGGTAGAGGTGGTTGAATGGATTAAAAGTGATCGCAACCAAGATACTCTCGGTGAAGCAACTAGGTTATTCAAAGACATAAAAACTTTTGATTTTGCATTTCACCTTTTCTTGATGAGACTTATATTGGGAATTACAAATGAGTTGTCACAAGCATTGCAAAAGAAAGATCAAGATATTGTAAATGCGATGACGTTAGTGGAAGTATGCAAACAAAGACTACAATCCTTGAGAGATGATGACTTTGGGGACTTATTTAATGATGTAGGAAGGTTTTGTGAGGATCATGATATTATCGTTCCTAACATGGAGGATTTGCATTTCGTACCTGGAAAATCAAGGCGTAAAGCTCCAAAAATCACAAACTTCCATTACTATCGTATGGATCTTTATTTTCAAGTCTTTGATATGCAACTAAAGGAATTGAATGATTGCTTCAATAAGGTAAACACCGAGTTGCTTCTTTGTATAGCATGTTTGAGTCCGGTGAATAATTTTGCATCTTTTAACAAAGCAAAAATTGTTCGTTTAGCCCAACTTTATCCTCAAGATTTTGATCGTATGGACCTCATGAATCTTCTAATTCAACTTGACAATTACATTCATGATATGAAAATGCATAGTGAGTTTTCATCATTGAGAGGAATTAATGATCTTGCAAAAGAGTTAGTGAAGACTGGGAGGTGTGAAAGCTATATGTTAGTGTATAAGCTTCTTACATTGGCTTTGGTGTTACCGGTTGCAACCGCTTCGGTGGAGAGAGCTTTTTCTGCTATGAAGATTGTGAAAGCACTATTGCGTAACAAAATGGGAGATCAATGGTTGAGTGATAGTATGCTTGTTTACATTGAGAGATATGTATTTGCTTTTATTGATAATGAGCCTATTATGCAACGTTTTCATGACATGAAACCTCGCCGACAACAATTGTAATTTTTTTGTATTAATTAATTATGAAAGACATTACTATATAAAAAGATTTAGTTGTTGCCATTTTTCTTTAACCTTGCACTCTTTTAAGTTCACCCCTCCCCCTGAGAAATCCTGGCTTCACCACTGAGGGCAAGGAAAGAGTACGGAAATAGGAGGGCAAACAATCCACCTCCAAAAGAAGTACCCATGTTTTTGGAGGTAAACGGGAGAAATAATCTAGCTCTACAAAAGAAATTTTTGAACTACTTTAATGTCCACAAAGAATAATTCAAACTTAGGTGCAGAATGATGGCGCTCTGCTTTAGTCAATTTGGTTGCTAGCAAGTGGAGGATTGCCATAACGAATATGGTCTACCTCTCCAACCCTCCCCCTCTCCCCTCTCCCCTCTTTTTTGTTTAAAGTAATAATATCGTTTGTAAAAAATAATTTCTCAATAGCAAGTAATACATATACTAATTGAAAAAAAAAATTATAAATATACCAAGATAAATTATAAAACAATCTTGAGGATAAATTTACAAATTTGGTACGTACCAATTTTAAAATATATGTTGAGTTAGTTTTGTACAATTTTATACATAATAATTTCTCAAATTCACTCAATTAACTCATTTTATGTGTGACGTTTGGGATCAAATTTTCAAATGCATCACACATTATTTGCGATGTTCCACACCTATCGTGTGTGGTCGAGTTTCTAACATTACATATATATACCAGCCTCAACCTCTACCTCCATCACTAAACACAACAAATGTTTCATAAAATAATTAAGAGGATGGTAGGTTGAAGTTAAAATGGAAATTGAGTTCTCTTCGAATCTTAGTGTTCAGAGCTTATGGACTAAAAAATCCGAATCCTTGGTTTGTGTAAAAGAGAGATCAGAGCCCTTGATTCCCAGTCGAAACCGAGGCAACAGCTCAGTAATCCTCCGGGAATTGTAGTTCCAACTTCCAGCATTCGACAAACCACTGTCTAGGGCTCTAAGCAATTAGCTTGGTTATCTAACAAAGGCAATAAGCTCGAAATTTATGATAATTAGGGTCTAAAACTGCCGATCCATACAGGATACAACATAGTTCAGCTTGCTACCGGTACAAGCAGCTTGCTACACGGGTACAACATCGTTCGATTAACAACAGAGACAGCTCCTCTTCGTCTAACAAAGAAAACATACTCACTGTAGATAGTCCGACAAGGCCCATACGGGGCCGATAACTCATACAACCAACACGGGGGAGTATGTACGACTACGAATCACTAGCCGACTCAGACCTTCCTCTTCAAATCCTCGTTCTCCTTGTTTAGGAGATCAATTCGGGCTTGAAGAATGTTGATCATGGCTTGGGCACTCATCATTTCAAACTTCAAGGTCTCCCTCTCGATTGAGATTTTGTGGATTTCAGTTTGCAGAGTCTCTATGTATTTCAAGCAGCTGGTAGGCACAGATGATTCCATCAAAGCAGCATTAAGTTCAGGAGGAGGTGCCGGGGTGGTATCTTTGGGTTCAAGGGATTCCAACAGCTGATACTCCACCAGTGCAGACAGAAAATTTCTGGTAGTCGTTGTCATCGATGCCTCAGTTGACGCTGTTGTTGTTGTAGACGAGCAAGGGTCATGTGTCATCCCACTTGAAATCTCAGAAGCATTTGAATGGTTAGAATTTGACTCGTTATGCCGCCTTCTTTTATACTGGCGTAGTTGCCCAGGTTGTCGATTAAACAAAGTTAGCAGGGGTTGTGCATCATCTGGACCTGGTGACGGATAGTCATCCAATCTCTCTTCTCTATTAACCACACATGTCATAGGATAATCATCCGTTCTCTCTGTCTTGCACGGTGGTAAAACAGTTTGATTCTCTGTTGGAAGTTCAGGAACAACAACAATAGCCTTGCTGATTGCCTGAGTATCCTGAAATGAGCAACCAAGAAGGGGAAGCAAATATTGGACGTAAGGAAAATTGAAAATACAAAGAAAAATGCAAAGAGCTACAACAGGCAATCTTACGTATCGAATATCATGAACAAAGAACAATACTAATGGGAATATCGCTAACAGGTCAGGTTGGTTGTACACCATATCATGGTATCAACTTTGATTGTTTATGGTAGCATGTCACTGTCTGCTTCTTTTAGTGTATAATAAACATAGCAACAATGATAATAGACATGCGGTTGATATTATGCATTCAAAACGTTGCAACAATGATAATAACCTGCAAATCTAAATCTAAATTTCACTTTGACAAAAAAAAAAAAAAAATCTAAATTTCACAACCATGGATAGTTTCAGCATATGTTTAGAATTAAAACCTAGAGTACGAAAATAAGAAATTGAGGTATTTATAATGATTCATGAGTCAAAGAAATACAGTTACAATCCCCAACACAAGACGATGCTGCAGCCTACGCTAATAAGAGAACAACTTTTTCAGCAATTATATGGTCAGGTAGTTTGGTACCATGAAAGGTGTATGCGTCCTTCATTTCAGTTTTCTTTTTAATCCATGGTTTTAGTATACAGCGAGGTCAAAAAGAAGGTGTCAGTGCCAGAAAGAAGCACTACGAACAAGTAGCTGTTTTAATTTCAAATTTATGTATCTTGGTTTCATTTTAGCTAGAGTTTAAAGAGTGACTGGATTATTCCAAGGATGGGATTTCTATGTATAGCAGATTACAAATATGTGGCAGGCCAACAGACTATGCAATAAACAAAACTCAAAGCACATTTAACCATCATGTGGTAAAGTCTACCTTTTAGTAATTTACTTTCTTTTTAAGCAGTTCTATCTATTAGCTTTATCTAACAACATAACTCTTGTATGTAACAACTATCAATTAATACTAGCAAAACAGCCATACCAATTCCCAAACATAAATTGTTCGTGGTGGATAATGGCGAAACTTTCATTAGAAGACTGAGAACCATGTCACTCGTTCAAATTACTATCTGGATTCTGGAGTTTAATCAAATCCTGATGTTCCTACTCATTAAAAGGGGCTAATACCAACCATTACAATCTGCTTTTAAACTCCAGAAGGATCTATAAATTAACCTGAACAAAGCCTATAGCTCTGCAAATCTCTGTAATTAAAAGAAAAGGAGAGCACAAAGAATGGAAACACTGAAACTTTAGTCATCATGACTTGCCCACTTCAGTTACATAACTTTTCTGTAGAGTTTTGGTATTATCCATATTCCAGGCTTTTATTCAGGTCTAGCCCACCACTAGTTTAACCATTTTTCTTATACACAACACAACCTCTTTACTTGGGGAAAACAGAAAAACATAGAATGGCAAGTCGCAAATATATATATATATATAAAGAGGGTGAGAAAGGGAGAGAGCCAGTTGAACTAGTATAACAGTGACCTAAATAATCATCTACTATTCATAAGTTGACTTTGGTATTAACTAGAATAATTGTTTGACATAACAAGAAAATCTAAGGGATTGCAAAACTTGAATGTTTACTGTTTAACCTTCTTAGGAATGAAGAACGTAAATTGTTGTGCAAAAGCCTCATAATCCCCCACTTTTGCTAAAAGGTCATTAACAAACATATCATGACAACCAACAAAATCCACTTTAGTCACATTTGAACCTAAATCATCGTTCACATTTGGATGCTTCAAGACTTCTCCTTCTCCACCTGGTCTTTCAAACAATTCCAACTTGCTACAGTCTATGTCACTATAATCGTTCCTTATCACCTTAAGCAAGAAATGTTGTCTACTTTCTTCTAAAACCTCATCTCAAACTTAAAAAATTGAACCTTCCAATTGTGCAGATGCTCCTCTACAGACCAAGCAACATCATTGCTCTATACCCCTAACTCTCATAAAATCCAACAAAATAAAAAGGTACTTAGCTTCTTTCTCAAGGTTCCTTATCATGGCTTATCAAAACCTTTGAGAAAAAAGGTACTCCATGTGGGGCTTTTTGTTGAGAATGAGTCCCACACTGATAGAAGGAGGGACCTTGCATGGTCTTATAAGAGGTTGGGCTACTCCCCATATTGCCAATTGGTTTTATGGTGGAACCTCAACTTTCTTCAGCCTTATCACGTGAGCCACTGATCTACTACAAACTTGAAAATGGAAAAAGGTTCTTTATCACATAAGCCATTGATATTGACTATTCCACCGTCTGATATCTATTTCTTGAGGTAATTTATGTATATATCATCCTATGTAACCTCAAGGGACCTCAAGGGACTCCACCACATTCTCTATGTATCCCAAGAGACACCAATTTTAGGCCACAGGCTTATAGAACAGAATAATTCACCATGTCACATCATCTCTGAAGCAGAACTCATTTATAGACGAGAGGAAAAATGTCAAGGTCAAACAGTTTAAAACAGTGCTGGATTATTAGACCGTCCAGTATAGAAAACCCCAAACAACATGGTCTAATGCAAAACCAAGGAAAAAGAAGACTCACCATCCTTCCGAAAGTACCTTGTCAGAATAATTATAATCTCATCCAGCAGTCAATCCAGACCTTCTTCCACGTAGGGAAGCCTCCTTAAAATGTCTTTTAAACATTGATTTCAACAATTATGTAATACTTTTAATTTATAAGCATACGATGATGACACTTATAATATGATAATGCACAGATGATAGAGATACAGAAAGCCATTATCCAAAATATATAAGTCACTATTTTGTGCAGACCTCTTCAAAGAACGAAAGAGTGAGAAAAAAAAAGGTTTGAATTAGAAAATCCCAACCCACCAGAAGATTGAAAAGTTATGTTGGTGATCAGTGAATTCAGCCCACAAAGAAAAACAATGAAACTCACATGTCCAAGAATACAGTATACATGCTTGCCATTGGTGCATATTTGGTACTGGATGTTATACAAGGAAACAATCCTTACTATATTATTTCTCAATATTATTTTCTGATATTAACTAATAACAAAGTGGGGAAAACCATTATTTACATTATGGATGAGCAAATTCAGCCTATACAATAATACAGAACAAAATTTTATGTGAATAGACTTGAGAATAAAGAGAAATAAACTGAAAGCACAAACCTGCTCAATATTATTTTCTGCAGTGGGCGCACTGTGACCATTTCCTGCAGTACCAGTTTCATGACAGTTACCTTCATTAGTAGTTCCATTGTCATCTACTACAATTATAGTGCCATGACCAATTCCTCCAACAACATTTCCTTTGACAGAAATGCCATGACCATTTCCTTTGACAGAAGTGACCTGACCATTTCCTTCGACAGAAGTGACGTGACCACTTCCTTCGGAAGTGACGTGACCACTTCCTTCGACAGAAGTGACGTGACCATATCTTTTGACAGATGTGCCGTGACCATTTCCTTCAGTACCGTGACCAGTTCCTTTGACAGAAGTTCCATGATCAATTCCTTCCATGGAAATTCCATGACCATTTCGTTCGACAGAAGTTCCATGACCATTTTCTCCATTATATGCAGCTTGGCCATTGCCTCCAATATATGCAGCATGCCCATTTCCTCCAATATATGCAGCATGCCCATTTCCTCCGATGTATCCAGCATGCCCATTTCCTCCGATGTATGTAGCATGTCCGTTTCCTTTAATGTATGCAGCATGTCCATTTTGTTCACCACGAGCAGCATGTACCTTTTGCTCGCTATGAGCAGCATAATCATTTTGTTCACTACGAGCAGCATGTACCTTTTGCTCACTACGAGCAGCATAATCATTTTGTTCACTACGAGCAGCATGTACCTTTTGCTCACTACGAGCAGCATGTACCTTTTGCTCACTACGAGCAGCATAATCATTTTGTTCACTACATGCGGCATGACCATTTCCTACCACAAATGCATCACGACTAACTACAGCTACACTCCGGGTCTCTTGTCCAGGAACCAAAGTTAACTTGTCATCATCGTCCCACTCCTCCTCAACAAAAGGCGCATACCGATGCCCGTTTGGTGGACCTATATTGCTTTTGTGAAATACTCGACATAGGACAAATGCATCCTTCAGCCCCCAGAGCAAAAGGGAAACAAAAAAAATACTAAATCAGTCTCCAGATGATTGCAATACCCAATGCTTAAAAAAAAAAAAAAAAAAATTACTAGTTCGATGCTTTAGTAAAATTTAGATAAGGATATCAGTATGTCACATTATCGTAACACACTATAACCAAGTTAAGCAGTTCATTA